GACGGAGGATGAGATGGCTGGACAGTGTCTGCGAAGCAACCAACATGAAATTGACACAACTATGGGAAGCAGTGGAAGATAGGAGGGCCTGGCGTGCTCTGGTCCATGGGGTCACGAAGAGTTGGACACGACTAAACGAATGACCTTAAAGGTACAGAACATCTGGTTCCCCAGACCCTGTGGTGTGCAACATTTTTCTGTCATTTCCTCAAGGTCTAATGGAATAATATGAGCAACTCTGACTTTAAGAGGATTGGGAGGTTTCATGATTAATACAGTATGCTTGCATATTTCTCACAATGAAATGCCACTATCCCGCTAATTCTAAAAATTGTGTACCAATACGGTGGATTCTGTCTGTGTTACCGATCATCTGCCCTAACAGCAATATCGGGGGTTTTAATGGGACGTGAAGTGGGCTGACAGTTCAGTGCCAATGTATAAGGTAGTTAACTTTCAAAGCAATGCAAAATATTATTTAACACAGACCCCCAGTTTCTGCACCATTCATGTTTTAGAAGTTGTGACAACTGGTGCTGATTACCCAAGGGATGTAAATCCATTGTGGCACAAGGTTTCCCACCAGCTAAGTCTTCCCCAGAGCCTAAATAACTGTTCAGAATCTGGGAGCGGTCTAAGTACTTTAAATATAACGGGCATCAAGCAGAGTCGAACAAGTATGTTCTATAAGGGAGTAAAACCAAGTGATAATAGAGCCCTTGGCAAGCATTTGTCTGCTCACTTCAGGCTAAAGACCTGCTGGATAGCTCAGGGTTTAGGTAGCTGGCCATGGAGCCAGAGGTTGGGAGTTCGATTCCCCCCACGGTGCCTGCTTGACAGGGGCTGGACTCCATGGTCTCTTGAGGGTCCCTTCCAGCTCTGGAATTCTAAGGTGGTTATTGTTATATGTAAGGCCTAGCACCGCCATATGCTTAGCAAAGTCCAAAATATTTGCACATTTAAGTGCAAACGTGTATATAGAGGTCTATAACTGTGTTTTTGTTAAATATGACGATAATTGGGAATCCGGCCTTCACAACAAAAATGCATGGTGTTGTTTTTGCAGAAGGAACTGTGAAGAAGCCCTGGATGAATTATTTTAGGTGGATCAATTCCACACATAATAAATCCAGGGTGACGCACACTCGAATTCAAAAGAAATCAGCTTTTAATGTAATTGTGAACCACGAAACGAGTAAAGCCTCTTCACAGTAAAAAAAGCAACAACTTTAACCAAATGTGGTGAGTCACCTGCTCTGTAAATTCCATTAATTCAAATGGGCCTACTTTTACTGTGACTTACTTTAACATAATAAATGAATTAGTGGAATTTATGGGAGAGTTGACTCACTTAGTCCCATTGATTCAAGGGGCCTCCCCTAGGGCAATTTACTACAGGACCTTAGGTGTTTGGTTGCTGGTTTGTTTCCTACTTTATTATTATTACTAGTTTTATTTTTACTTTTATTTATATGCCGCATTTCTCCCAACAAAGGACCCAAAATGGCTCAAAACATTCAAATTCACACAATTGAAAAACACAATAAGTTAAATATTAAAAGATAAATTAAACAATATATAATTTAAAATATAATTAAAAGATTAAAACATGAAAACATAAAAAAGATTAACATTTCTGCTAAAATAGGGTTCAGGGATTCAGTTATAATTGTTAAAAACCTGCCTGAAGAGATGGATCTTTACCTTTTCTTGGAAGGATAACAGAGAAAGGCCCATCCTGATCTCCCAAGGAGGAGCATTCCATAGCCTGGGAGCCGCCACCAAGAAGGCCCTCTCCCCAGCGTCCCCATCAGCTGTGCTTGTGCTGGCAATGGGACCGAGAGGAGGGCCTCCTCTGCTGATCTTAATCACTGGGAAGGTGCATATAGGGAGATATGGTCCTTCAGGTAGCCTGGGCCCAAGCTGTATAGGGCTTTATAGGCAATAACCAGCACTTTGAATTGGGCCCGTGTTACAGTAATCCAAATGGGATGTAACTAAGGCATGTGTCACTGTAGCCAGAGCCGACTTTTCAAGGAACTTTAGGGTTCCAATAACCTCTTGTTATGGTGTGTGATCAGTTTCCTCCTGAACCCTTGCATGATGCCGGTTCTATTTCACTGCCATTTCAATATACAAAAAGCTTGGCACGCTATATCTATTGTTTAATGTATGGGTTTGTTTGTCTTTAAAGTACGTTTCAATATAGATCACTTAAGGAAGGATCAAGGGAGAAACGTTTAGCAAAGATCCACACAAAGTTCCAAGGTTTCACAGCAAGTGCTTGCAACACAACTTCCTCATCGCACTCATCCCCCCTTTTTTTCAAAGATGTGCGGTGGGACCCATCAGGACAGCCTCTTGGCAACATAAACTGTTTTTCCCAGTATGAAACGCTGCCAATACAGCTGGCTCAGATTTCAACCCCTTCAGCTGTTTCTGGAAAATGGCTTTGCCAGATTTTGAAATCTTATCTTTTACAAATGGGTGTCAAGAAGTGACTGTAAAATCCGATGGAAGCCCAATTGTATAAATACAGTACATTTACTCAATTAACTCATAAACACAAGAAGTTAGGGTGAAATGTTTTGTTCAGATGGGAAGAACAGAGAAAAATAAGCGGATTTACATCGAAGGATTCCAACCAGTATGCACAAAGAGAAGGCTCTGCTTGAGGAAGGTGCTGGAGCACATTGCTTCACACTTTTCTGTAGGCACTTTGAACAACTGTTAACTCTTCTTATCACTCTTTCCATCCAAACAAGGAACATCATTTTCCTGCTGTACTGGAATATAATAATAAACTTGGAAGTGCAGGGCTGTAAGGGCAGCTTGAATGTTGACGACATCCATGTCAGCAGTCAGCATGGCCTACAGGAGACCCCCTTGTCTTCACTACCATTGACAAAGTGACACCCAAGCAGGAGAAAAGTCCCTGGCTCCTTTTTTCATCAGTTAACCACTTTTCACCAAAACACAAAACAAGGGCCACAGCTATTTTTCAACAAGCTCTCTAGGTAGCTAGGTAAAGCCTGGCATCCTTTTTCCTGCTGGCAATGTGAGCATGATATCAGACTATTTTGTGGCACTTTGAATCATGGATAGAGAAGCACAATACAGTGGTGCCCCACATAGCGACGTTAATCCGTTCCGGATTAATCATCGCTATGCAAACACATCGCTAAACGGATTGAAAAACCCCAGAGGAACGCATTAAACTTCAGCGTTCAGCAAAGTTCCTCCATAGCGCCGCTATTTTCGCGCCCTCGGTAAGCGAGGGCAGGGCGCGAAAACACTTGCAGTGGCCATTTTGGGCACTCGTCGGCCATTTTGGAACCGCCGATCAGCTGTTGTAAAAACATCGCAATGCGAGTTTTTGCCTATCTAAACGTCGCAATGCCATCGCTTTTGCAATCGCAAAAGCGACGTCGCTATGCGTATTCGTCGTTAAACGGTGCGGTAGTTAAGCGAGGCACCACTGTATCCCACATTCTTAAACTGGAAGGTTTTTGAATAATTCTCTTTGTGTGTGTGTGTGTGTGTGTGTGTGTGTGTGTGTGTGTGTGTTAAATTGGTGTGTGTGTGTGTGTGTGTGTGTTAAATTGGAGGCTTTTTAAATAATTCAGTGTGTGTATGTGTGTGTGTTTGTGTGTGTGTGTGTTTGTGCACTTGCATAAAGACTATAGATTTGTACTATAGATAGGTAACATACAAGCATGCATTATATACTTGTAGAAATCCATGTAGACATATACTGTAAATATGCATGGGGACACTGGCCAACAGTGCTGCATGCAGTCTTAAAGTCATTGGTCCATGTATGATGTTAATGAAATGTATTTATGATGTAGCACTGAAGCATAGCTAAGAACACATATGTCTATCCACACTGTGACATTCATATGGATCATTCAATCCACATATACAGGATAATGTGAATTCATGGCAAGATTTTTTGGGATGCTACCCAGATTGCATCCTTGCAACAAAAAATAGGGGATGTGGAAATCTGAATGCAAGTGTACACTGTATCTGCCACTAGATGTTCTTACTATGGCCTTCCTTTCATGTGCAAGTCTGGCTAGACAGCAGATATCACCATCAGAGGAACAGTAGCATGAGGATGGGCATACCTTCAAAGAGAAGAAGAAGCCCATTTGTCATCTGTTATGTCAGCAGTCATTTGCACAGACCTGCCGTGCTTGTGGTGAAGTACCTACCTAGTACATCACTGCTGGTTCCTTCCAAACCTTTCCACGTTTTCCCCTTCTCCAGCCTCTGGATATGTGCAACATACATCTCTCTACAGCAAAAGAGATAAATGGCAAGGGTGCCTGAAAGGAAATCATCATCATCATCATCATCATCTATAATAACCTTAGAACTGCAGAGCTGGAAGGGACTCTATGGATCATCAAGTCCAGCTCCTATTGAGGAAGCCCAGTAGGGATTTGAACTCCCAGCCTCAGCCAGAAATCATTGGCCACCTTACACTGGCTACCTATCCGCTTCTGCATTGATTTCAAGATGCTAACCATTACATATAAAGCCCTTAACTGTTTAGGACCTGAATACCTAGCAGAATGCCTTCTTCTGCCCAGTTCTACCTGTATCACCCGCTCCAGTCAGGCTGGGGCGCTGGGGGACCTAACACCAAGAGAGGCCTGGTGGGAAAAAACTAGAAATTGGGCCATCTTGGCAGTGGCCCCTTATCTCTGGAACAACTTACCTGTAGAAATCCAACAGGCTTAAGGCATTCAAGACTAGCTTGAAGACATGGCTATACAGGCAGGCCTTCCCTACAGCCATTACCTAGCCTATCTTCCTTTCCCCTTCCCCCCCTCTCTCTTCTTTTTCTTCTTTTTTCCTTTCCCCATCTTTGACTTCATGATTAATTTGGATTTTACCTCAATTTACAGTGGTGCCCCGCTTGACAACAATAATTCGTTCCAAGAAAATCACTGTTAAGCAATATCGTCGTCAGGCAGAAACCATTGGAATGCACTGAAAACTGGTCAATGCGTTCCAATGGGGGAAATACCTCATTCTCCAGTGAAGATTGCCCATAGAGAACTGCCGATCAGCTGTTCAAAATCGCTGTAATGTGAAGCTTCCCTCCAGAAAGCAGCCATTTTGAGAAGGGAGGGAAGCCATTTTGCAGAGGGAAGTCATTTTGCGGAACTGGAAAAATCATTGTACAGTGGTGCCTCGCTTTACGATTGCCCCACATTACAACGAATCTGCTTTACAATAATCGCAAAACGATGGTCTAAATGGGGGAATTTCGCTTTGCGATGATCGGTTCCCTGCTTCGGGAACCGATTCTTCGCAAAACGATGTTTTTCTAACAGCTGATCGGCGGTTTCAAAATGGCTGCCAGGTAATTAAAATGGCTCCCCACTGTGTTTAGGGACTGATTCCTCACTATACAGGCAGCGAAAATGATCGCTGTATGGAGGATCTTCACTGGACAGTGAGTTTTTACCCAACTGGAACGCACTGAATGGGTTTCAATGCGTTTCAATGGAGTTTATTTCGCTTTACAATGTTTTCGCTTAACGGCGATTTTCCTGGAACGGATTATCGTTGTTAAGCAAGGCACCACTGTATAGCGAACAAACGGTTCGCAAAGCAGGCTCCTAATCAACGTAATGTGGATTTCCCCCATAGGAACCAATAGCGATTGCAAAAATGTCATCATTAAGCAATTTCGACGTCATGCGGGGCAAGCGTATAGCAGGGCACCACTGTATTTTTATGCTCTATGTAAACCGCCCAGAGTAGACACGTTCTAGATGGGCGGTATATCACTCTAATAAATAAATATAATTAATTAATTAATTAATTAATTTTGGGGAGCCGTAATTTATGTTGCAGAGTTTTGAATTTCCGGTAAAATTTCTTGTGCTTCGCAGTAGACATACAGAGACTCACAGAAGAGAATGGCTACAAGTTCCCTAGATAGGCCACCCTTTTCTCATTAACTAGCACTTAAAATCTCAATAACTCGTTCTGAGACATTTCTAGGAGAAAGAATAAAAATGTTACATTACTTACAATTGCAAATATATCAACAGCCAACAAACAACCACTTCCAAAAGACGAAAGGGATGGGAGGGAAAGGAACACTCAGCCGAGACATAGGGCTCTTTTTGAATTAAGAGATAGCAGGAAATAATTGATTAGACTGATAGTTTGACAGTCACTCCAGCCCAGAAAAAGTCCCTCCCAATCTCTCAAAGCAGAGGCAACATGTGAGGTTGTAAATAAAACGGCAACAAAAACTGACAGAAGAAATTCTAGTATTCTCCAGTTACTTAAAAAAAAAACTAGCATATGTTCCCCTCAATTTAATGTTAAACAGAGCAAAGCAATATAGTGGTGCCTCGACTTACAACCATCTTGACTTGCAACCAATTTGAGTTACAACCAGCTCCAGTCACAACATTTTGCTTTGACTTGCAGCCGGGGCTTTGAGATACAACTGGAAAAAGGCCTCTTTTCCCCATTGTTCCCTCCCTCCTTTCCTGTCCTTTTTTAACCTTAGAGGTCATCTTAGGTTAAAAAACAGTCTCTCCCTAGTGGTAGTGGACGGATTAACCACTTTTGGATTAGTTCCTATCGGAACTAATGCTCTGAGATACAACTAGCACCTTGAGATACATCCAAAAAACGGCCGGAAGGGATGAATCACTTTTCAGTGTACTCCTATGGGAAATGGTGCTTTGAACCACAACCAACTTGAGTTACAACCATCATCCGGAACGAATTAAGTTCACAACTCAAGGCGCCCGCTATACTCTTTCACCACCAATTTTGTATAATGTGCATGTAAGCACACTTGGTCAAGATGCATCAATAAAATATAATACTCATTTTAAAAAGAAAATTGCTGCTTTTCTAAGGAAGCAGACACTAGTTTCCTGCTTACATGAATCTTTAACATTATTTTTGCTGTTTAGAACAATTTTACAAATACAGAAGCATAGATTCTCTTTCACGACAGGCTTGCCCTGTTCTCAAGGTGTCCCCTTTTACTGTTGCATCCAGCCATTATTACATGTGAAAAATTATAGCATGCTGTGCAGAGAAATAATTATGAGCTAACCATGTCTCCAAATAATTTAACAGAGTACCTTCCATTTTTGAGCAATATCATTTTCATTTCATAAAAATGTTGAAGCTAAATAAGGCAACAATCCTCGATGTTGTCTCCATGCTTGTGTAATTGATACTTCTCAGGGCAATTACTGTTTTTTCTCAAAGATTAATGAGGGCTAGAAGTACACACACATTAATAAGAAGGTGATTATAGCATTGTTATAGGAAAGGACAAATTAGTTTGGAAATTACTTAGGGGAAAAATTTGGTTGCTCTGTGCTTGAATCACTGAAGGGGATACAAAGTCCACAGATTCAGTGGATTTGCATCAAAAGTATAAAAGCCTGTGAAGATTCTCAAAGGTACATATAAACACTTGAAAATCATTAAATGCAGAAGTCAGTCTCAGCAGATACAAAACTGCTGTGACTTTTGCAAATACTCAGCTTTCTCCTAGTTAGCAAGTGTGGGCGTAAGCCATCAGGAAAAAATTGTGTTCAGGAGTCCCTGTATGTCTCAACAGATGTGGATGATTAATAACATAAATATGCTCCAGGGGGTTGCAGCCATTCCTTCTTCATTTTCATTTAACTGTTTAATCTGAGCTGCCCTTACAACAATGCAATCTCGTAGCATGGAAGGAAGAAGCAGGCCACTCTTAAGAAGGAACATCAAAACTCACTTAAGCCCAATTTTTATTATTTAAAATAGTTTTGTAAGTCCCAGGAATTCCATCACAAAGAACACAGGGGTGTTTTCTGCATTAACAAGACGTCTACACGTTTCCTTTACTTGGAAATGAAACCAGTTTTACAGTTCGCAAAGAGGTTATTTTCCTCCTTCATTGAGACAGAAGGTTTGAAAACGATCAGCTCTTTCAAAGCTGATTTCCAAGTGACCAGCTGCCACAAACCCCTTTTTTGCACATGTTCATAAAGTCTAACACTCTCTGGGCAATTGAAGACTGCCAGAGAAAATAAATCACCAACCAAATCTGTGGCCATAGGTGGGGCTACCAAGTACAAACTGTGGACTGGGAATGGCGGTCCAATACTGTGGCCAAAGGTAGGGTAGCAAGTATACAACTGGGAATGCTGGTCCAGTTGAGGATCTTTTGACACTGACTGTCACCCTTGCACTGCAGTCCCATAGGTGTACACTGACTGATTGTCACCCTTGCACTGCAGTCCCATAGGTGACAACGAAAAGCATCGTTCATTCAGTGTTCATTTTATTCACATTGCCACATAACTTGACCATACTGTGATACAGGAGGAGGTGTATACACAGACTTCAACGTACTGTATTTGCTTTTTCCCAAGTCCCAACCACTATAAAAGCCCCCTTCCCTCCCCACTTTATCTTTCAGGAAAATTGCAAAACTTTGAAATGCTAGCATGGAACCATAGTGGCAAAGTTCTGTTCTTTGCTATTTGTTTTGGAGTTACCCATCTACCTCGCAGAGCAGGCAAGCTGTTTATCATCATCCTGACCCTTTGTGCTGTCTTTCTGCTTCTTCCTGCTGCTACTGGGATGCTGACACTGCTGGCCGAAGTGGAAAAAAAATATATCTCCCCCAGGCTAAGTGATAACTCAAACCAGCTGTATTCTTTCCCCAGGGAAAGCCTTTATCTGCTCAGGTCAAGGCAGGCTATACAGTATAAGTATGTGGAGCCTAAGGCAGGCCAGACAAGACACCCTGAAATGCAGGAATGTGTAAAGGAGGTGCCTTCATCACCAAGAGTTGCCAGATAAATTCCCAGTTTCCGTAAACCGTTAGCAAACTCAATGGTGACAATCAAACTGAAGTCAGACTTGGATAGCAAACCAGGACACTCTTACAAATGAGTTTCAGAGGGAAAACCATAACTGCTATTTAAATGTTAAGAGTCCATGGGAATCCTAAATCAAAAGAAGAAACAACTCTTGCAGTCCTTGTAAAATGACTTAATACTCTCCTGTCCTACCCTATTAGCAGAACCTCCCTGGGAAGAATGCCTTCAGGTCTAAATCTTCTCAGGATGCTTGGCCTATACAAGACATAGCTGCATGTTCCATCCAGTACAGGGGGAAGACGCCATCTTGAAACAGCTTTAGACACTCCCTCGTGTACCTTAGAACAGTGGTTCTTAACGTGGGCGATAATGCCCCCCAGGGGGCAATTTCATTTTTCAGGGGGGCAGTAGAACGAAAAGGGGCGGCGCGGGGGCGCTGGAGCTGAAGGGGGGCGGTA